CCCCCCATTCCCAACCCCACTTTTAATCTCCCCCCATTAATTAATTCCCCCCATTAATTACCCCCTAATTAACACTATTAATGACTCCCCATTTATTACCCCCTAATTAATTCTCCCCATTAATGACCCCCCGAATTAACATCACCGACTCCCCCATTCCCAACCCCACTTTTAATCACCCCCCATTAATTAGCCCCCATTAATTAATCCCCCCATTAATTCCCCCTAATTAACACTCTTAATGACTCCCCCATTAATTAACCCCCCTAATTAATGCTCCCCATTAATTACCCCTAATTAACACCCCATTAATTACCCCCTAATTAACATCACTGACTCCCCATTCCCAACCCCACTTTTAATCACCCTCCATTAATTACCCCATTAATTAATTCCCCCATTAATTACCCCCTAATTAACACTCTTAATGACTGCATTTATTACCCCCTAATTTATGCTTCCCATTAATTCCCCCCTAATTAACACCCCCATTAATTACCCCCTAATTAACATCATGCACCCCATTAATTACCCCCTAATTACTGCTCCCCCATTAATAACCCCCCTTATTAACACCCCTCATTAATTACCCCCTAATTAACATCACTGCACCCCCCATTAATTACCCCCATTAATTAATTCCCCCATTAATTACCCCCTAATTAACACTCTTAATGACTCCATTTATTACCCCCTAATTAATGCTCCCCCATTAATTCCCCCCTAATTAACACCCCTCTTTAATTACCCCTAATTAACATCACTGCACCCCCCCCATTCCCAACCCCACTTTTAATCACCCCCATTAATTAATTCCCCCATTAATTAATTCCCCCATTAATTACCCCCCAATTAACACTGTTAATGACTCCATTTATTACCCTTTAATTAATGCTCCCCATTAATGACCCCCTAATTAACACCCCTCATTAATTACCCCCTAATTAACATCACTGCCTCCCCATTCCCAACCCCACTTTTAATCATCCCCCATTAATTACCCCCATTAATTAATCCCCCCATTAATTACCCCCTAATTAACACTATTAATGACTCCATTTATTACCCTTTAATTAATGCTCCCCATTAATGACCCCCTAATTAACACCCCTCATTAATTACCCCCTAATTAACATCACTGACTCCTGATTCCCAACCCCACTTTTAATCACCCCCATTAATTATCCCCATTAATTAATTCCCCCCATTAATTACCCCCTAATTAACACTATTAATGACTCCCCCATTTATTACCCCCTAATTAATGTTCCCCATTAATGACCCCCTAATTAACACCCCTCATTAATTACCCCACAATTAACATCACTGACTCCCCATTCCCAACCCCACTTTTAATCACCCCCATTAATTACCCCCATTAATTAATTCCCCCATTAATTACCCCTAATTAACACTCTTCATGACTCCATTTATTACCCCCCCTAATTAATGCTCCTCCATTAATTACCCCTAATTAACCCCCCCATTAATTACCCCCTAATTTACATCACTGCACCCCCCATTCCCAACCCCACTTTTAATCACCCCCATTAATTAATTCCCCCATTAATTAATCCCCCCTTTAATTCCCCATAATTAACACTCTTAATGACTCCATTTATTACCCCTAATTAACACTCCCCCATTAATGACCCCCTAATTAACACCCGTCATTAATTACCCCTAATTAATATCACTGCACCCCCATTAATTACCCCCATTAATTACCCCCATTAATTAATTACCCCATTAATTAATTCCCCCATTAATTACCCCCTAATTAACACTCTTAATGACTCCATTTATTACCCCCAATTAATGCCCCATTAATGACCCCCTAATTAACACCCCTCATTAATTACCCCCTAATTAACATTACTGACTCCCCATTCCCAACCCCACTTTTAATCACCCCCATTAATTAATTCCCCCATTAATTACCCCCTAATTATCACTCTTAATGACTCCCCGATTTTTTACCCCATAATTAATGCTCCTCCATTAATTACCCCTTAATTAACACCCCGCATTAATTACCCCTAATTAACACTCTTAATGACTCCATTTATTACCCCCTAATTCTCCATTAATGACCCCCCTAATTAACACTCCCCATTAATTACCCCCTAATTAACATCACTGACTCCCCATTCCCAACCCCACTTTTAATCATCCCCCATTAATTACCCCCATTAATTAATTCCCCCATTAATTACCCCCTAATTAACACTCTTAATGACTCCATTTATTAACCCCTAATTCTCCATTAATGACCCCCTAATTAACACCCCCCATTAATTACCCCTAATTAACATCACTGCGCCCCCCATTCCCAACCCCACTTTTAATCTCCCCATTAATTACCCCCATTAATTAATTCCCCCCATTAATCCCCCTAATTAACACTCTTAATGACCCCATTAATTACCCCCCAATAAATGCACCCCCATTAATTACCCCCTAATTAACACCCTTCATTAATTACCCCCTAATTAACATCACTGATTCCCCATTCCCAACCCCACTTTTAATCACCCCCATTAATTAATTCCCCATTAATTAATTCCCCCATTAATTACCCCCTAATTATCACTCTTAATGACTCCCCCATTAATTACCCCCCTAATTAATGCTCCCCCATTAATTACCCCCTAATTATCTCCCCCATTAATTACCCCTAATTAACATCACTGACTCCCCATTCCCAACCCCACTTTTAATCACCCCCTATTAATTACCCCCATTAATTACCCCCATAATTAATTAATTACCCCTAATTACCGCCCCTGTGGCGGGCTGAGGCGCTAATTAGCGCTAATTAACTCTGTTAATTGCAGTGGACTCCATCTGCCTGCGCTGGGCGCCCCCGAAGCACAAACAGGCCAAGGTGGCCAAGAAGTGAAATTCGGATTTTTTGCCCAATTTTGGGGGGTTTTACCCCAAAGTTTTGGGGCATTTTCCTCCAATTTTGGGATCTTTTTTTTTTTCCTTCAGTTTTTGGGTTTTCCTCCAATTTTGGGATTTTTCCCTGAATTTTTGGGGATTTTTCCTCAAATTTTGGGGATTTTTTCCTCAATTTTTGGGGGGTTTTCCTAAAATTTTGGGGATCTTTTCCTCAAATTTTTGGAGATTTTTCCTCAAATTTTTGGGGTTTTTCCCTCAAATTTTGGGGACTTTTTCCCTCAAACTTTTGGGATTTTTCCCTGAAATTTTGGGGTTTTTCCCTGAAATTTTTGGGACTTTTCCCTGAAATTCTGGGGATTTTTTCCTCAAATTTTTGGGATTTTCCCCTGAAATTTTTGGGTTTTCTCCCTGAAATTTTGGGGATTTTTCCTCAAATTTTTGGGATTTTTTCCTCAAATTTTGGGGATTTTTCCTTCAAATTTTTGGGGTTTTTCCCTGAAATTTTTGGGATTTTTCCCTGAAATTCTGGGGATTTTTCCTCAAATTTTTGGCGTTTCTCTCCCAAAGTTTTGGGTTTGCCCCCAAATTTTTGGGTTTTTCCTCCAATTTTGGGATTTTCCCTCCAGTTTTGGGATTTTCCCTCCAATTTTGGGGATTTTTCCCTCAGTTTTGGGGATTTTCCCTCACATTTTTGGCGTTTTCCCCTCAATTTTGGGTGGATTTCCCTCCAATTTCGGGATTTTTCCCCCAAATTTCGGGGCTTTTTTCCCCCTCAACTTTTGGGGTTCCTCCCAAATTTTTGGGGTTCCCCTCGCTCAGTTTTGAGTTTTCCCCCAAATTTTGCCATTTTCCCAAATTTTTGGGGATTTTCCCCCAAATTTTTGATGATTTTCCCCCAAAATTTTGTGATTTTTTCCCCAAAATTTTTGTGTTTTTTCCCCCAAATTTTTGGGGTCCCCCATTTCCCTCCCCCTCCCGAATTTTGGGGTCTCCCCCACCCCAAATAAAGCAGGAAAAAGGACGGGGAGGGGTCTCAGAGTTTTTATTTTGGGAAATTTTGGGGAATTTTGGGGAATTTTGGGAGGGTCCCACCCCCATTTTTGGGGTCCCATCCCATTTTTGGGGTCATTTTTGGGGTTTTATCTCCATTTTTGGGGTCCCCCCCTATTTGGGACACTCCAAATCTGGTTTTAACCCCAAAACCCAAACCAAACTCTCCAAATTTGGGGATTTCATCCCAAAACCCCAAACCAGACCCCCAAAATCCGGGGTTTTCACCCCAAAACCCAAACCAGACCCCCAAAATCTGAGGTTTTCACCCCCAAAGTCAAGACCATGACCCAAAATTTTGGCATTTTCACCCCAAAGTTGTGACGGGGGACCCCAAAATTCTGCATTTTCACCCCAAAGTTGGGCCTGGGACCCCAAGTTTCGCCCTTTTCACCCCAAATTTCGCCCTTTTCACCCCAAAACCCATACCAGAACCCAAATTCCAAGGTTTTCACCCCACAGTTGTGCCTATGACCCCAAATTTCGCCCTTTTCACCCCAAATTTTGTTGTTTTCCACCCCAAATTCCGCCATTTTCACCCCAAAGTCGTGCCTATGACCCCAAATCCCTCCCTTTTCACCCCAAATTTCGCCCTTTTCACCCCGAATTCCACCCTTTTCACCCCAAAACCCAGAGCAGACCCCAAATTCCACCGTTTTCACCCCAAGACCCAAACCAGACCCCAAATTTTGCTGTTTTCACCCCAAAACCCAAACCAGACCCCAAATTCCGCCCTTTTCACCCAAATTTCACCCATTTCACCCCAAATTCCGCCATTTTCACCCCAAATTTCTCCCTTTTCAACCCAAATTTCGCCCTTTTCACCCCAAACCCCAAACCAGACCCCCAATTTCGCTGTTTTCACCCCCAAAACCCAAACCAGACCCCAAATTCCGCCCTTTTCAACCCCAAATTTTCCCCAAAATCCGCCATTTCACCCCAAAACCCGGAGCAGACCCCAAATTTCGCCCTTTTCACCCCAAATTTTGCCCAAATTTCTCCCTTTTCACCCCAAAATCCGGAGCAGACCCCAAATTCCGCCCTTTTCACCCCAAATTTTGCCCAAATTTCTCCCATTTCACCCCAAAACCCGCAGCAGTGCCACCCCCATTGCCATCACCACCACCCCCGGTGCCGCCCCCGGCGCCGCCCCCCCCCGCGTCCCCAGCCGGGCCCGGGGCCAGCGGCCGAGGCCACCCCGGGGGGACGTCCCCGAGCCCGCAGGGACCCGCGGGCGCTCCCGCGCTGCCCTTGGGGACATCATTGGGGACATTGGGGACATCGTTGGGGACATCACGAGGGGCCAGCTCGGGGACGAGGGACAGGATCCAGGAGAGGTGAGGGGACACCCCCGTGTAGACGCCCGGGCGCCCGGGGACCCCGCAGGCGTCGCCCCAACTCACCACCCCCGCCAGGTGCCAGGTGCCAGCCAGGCGACAGCTGAGGGGACCCCCGGAGTCACCCTGGGGACATTGAGGGGACATTGAGGGAACATGGGGACACTCAGGGGACATTGAGGGGACACTGACAGCTTGAGGGGACCCCCGGAGTCACCCTGGGGACATTGAGGGGACATTGAGGGGGACACTGACAGCTGAGGGGACCGCCCGAGTCACCTGGGGACATTGAGGGGGACATTGAGGGGACACTGACAGCTGAGGGGACCGCCCGAGTCACCCTGGGGACATTGAGGGGACATTAGGGACATTGAGGGGACATTGGGGATACAGGGACCCCGCCAGGTGCCAGGTGCCAGCGAGGCGACAGCTGAGGGGACCGCCGGAGTCACCCTGGGGACATTGAGGGGACATTGAGGGGACATTGGGGACATTGGGGACCCTGCCAGGTGCCAGGTGCCAGCCAGCGACAGCTGAGGGGACCGCCGGAGTCACCCTGGGGACATTGAGGGGACATTGGGGACATTGAGGGGACACTGACAGCTGAGGGGACCCCCGGAGTCACCCTGGGGACAGAGGGGACATTGGGGACATTGAGGGGACACTGACAGCTGAGGGGACTGCCGGAGTCACCCTGGGGACATTGGGGACCCTGCCAGGTGAGGGGACCACTGGAGTCACCCTGGGGATAGAGGGGACATTGGGGACACTCAGGGGACATTGGGGACATGGGGACCCTGCCAGGTGCCAGCCAGGGGACAGGTGAGGGGACCGCCGGAGTCACCCTGGGGACATTGAGGGGACACTCAGGGGACAGTGGGGACACTCAGGGGACATTGGGGACAGTGGGGACATTGAGGGGACATGGGGACACTGACAGCTGAGGGGACCGCCGGAGTCACCCTGGGGACAGAGGGGACACTCAGGGGACATTGAGGGGTTTGGGGACAGTGGGGACATTGGGGACACTGGGGACTCTGACAGGTGAGGGGACCGCCGGAGTCACCCTGGGGACAGAGGGGACAGTGGGGACACTGAGGACATTGGGGACATTGAGGGGACATTTGGAGGGATTGGGGGTTTGGGGACATTGAGGGGATTGGGGACACAGGGACCCTGCCAGGTGCCACCGAGGCGACAGCTGAGGGGACCGCCGGAGTCACCCTGGGGACAGAGGGGACATTGGGGACATTGAGGGGATATTGGGGACATTGGGGACATTGAGGGGATTGGGGGGATTGGGGACATTGGGGACAGTGGGGACATTGAGGGGACATGGGGACTCTGACAGCTGAGGGGACCGCCGGAGTCACCCTGGGGACAGAGGGGACATTGGGGACATTGAGGGGACATTGGGGACATGGGGACCCTGCCAGGTGCCAGCCAGGCGACAGCTGAGGGGACCGCCAGAGTCACCCTGGGGACAGAGGGGACACTCAGGGGACAGTGGGGACATTGGGGACATTGGGGGGATTGGGGACATTGGGACTCTGACAGGTGAGGGGACCGCCAGAGTCACCCTGTGGACAGAGGGGACACTCAGGGGACATTGGGGACATTGGGGACTCTGACAGGTGAGGGGACCACTGGAGTCACCCTGCGGACAGAGGGGACATTGAGGACATTGAGGGGACATTGAGGGCATTGGGGACATTGGGGGGATTGGGGACATTGGGGGGATTGAGGGGATATTGGGGACACTGAGGGGATTGAGGACATTGGGGACATTGATTGGGGACACGGTGACAGAGGGAGGTGACAGTGCCACAGGGAGGCACCGGGGGGAGGTGACACGGGCACAGGGGAGGGGACAGCGGCACAGGGGAGGGGACAGGGGGAGGTGACACCGACACAGGGGAGGTGACACCGACACAGAGGAGGTGGCAGCGGCAGAGGGGAGGTGACAGCGGTGACACCGACACAAGGGGAGGGGACAGGGGGAAGTGACACCGACACAGGGGAGGGCACAGGGGAGGTGACACCGACACAAGGGGAGGGGACAGGGGAGGGGACACCGACACAGGGGAGGTGACAGCAATGACGTCGGCAGAGGGGGAGGGCATAGGCGGAGGTGACACCGACACACAGGGGAAGGTGACACCGGCACAGGGGAGGGGACAGCGGCACAGGGGAGGGGACAGCGGCACAGGGGAAGTGACAGCAATGACACCGACACAGGGGAGGTGACACCGACACACAGGGGAAGGTGACACCGACACAGGGGAGGGGACAGGGGGAGGTGACACCGGCACAGGGGAGGGGACAGGGGGAGGTGACACCAGCACAGGGGAGGGCACAGGGGAGATGACACCGACACAGGGGAGGGGACAGGGGAGGTGACACCGGCACAGGGGAGGGGACAGAGGGAGGTGACACCGACACAAGGGAGGGGACAGCGGCACAGGGGAGAGGACAGCGACACAAGGGAGGTGACACCGGCACAGGGGAGGGGACAGGGGGAGGTGACACCGGCACAGGGGAGGGGACAGCGGCACAGGGGAGGTGACACCGACACACAGGGGGAGGTGACACCGGCACAGGGGAGGGGACAGGGGAGGGGACAGGGGGAGGTGACACCGACACAGGGGGAGGTGACACCAGCACAGGGGGAGGTGACACCGGCACAGGGGAGGGCACAGGGGAGGGGACAGGGGGAGGTGACACCGACACAGGGGAGGTGACACCGACACGGGGGAGGTGCCCGAGGTCGCACCTGGCAGGCGTCGCGCTGTCCCTGCGGGAGGCCGGCACAGATGGTGTCCCCCGCGGGTGTCCCCAGCCCGTCCCCCGGCGCTGTCGCTGTCGCTGTCGCTGTCCCCAGGGCGTAGAGGCAGCGGCAGTGGCGCTGGCTCAGCAGGGGCACCTCCAGCTGCTGCAGCGTCTTGGGGGGTGGCAGTGGCACTGCGGGGACAGCGCGGGGACAGCGGCGTCACCGAGCCGGGCCTGAGGTCACCGTGGGGTCACCAACCCTGTCCTGGTCACCTCGGTGTCACCGAGCCCGGCCTCAGGTCACCGCGGGGTCACCGAGCCAGGCCTGGTCACCTCAGTGTCACCAACACTGTCCCTGCAGTCACTGCGGTGTCACCGAGCCTGGCCTGGTCACCTCAGTGTCCCCAACCCTGTCCTGTGGTCACTGCAGTGTCCCCAACACTGTCCTGGTCACTGCGGTGTCCCCAACCCTGTCCTGGTCACCTCAGTGTCACTGAGTCTGGCCTGAGGTCACCGCGGGGTCACCGAGCCGGGCCTGAGGTCACCCTGATGTCCCCAACCCTGTCCTGTGGTCACTGCGGTGTCCCCAACACTGTCCTGGTCACTGAGGTGTCACCAACCCCGTCCTGGTCACCTCAGTGTCACCAACACTGTCCCTGCAGTCACTGCGGTGTCACCGAGCCGGGCCTGAGGTCACTGCGGGGTCATCAAGCCTGACCTGAGGTCACCCCAGTGTCACCAACCGCATCCTCGTCACCTCGGTGTCACCAACACTGTCCCTGTGGTGTCCCCAACCCTGTCCTGGTCACATCAGTGTCCCCAAGCCTCACCTGTGGTCACTGTGGTGTCACCGAGCCTGTCCTGGTTACCTCGGTGTCACCAACACTGTCCCTGCAGTCACTGCGGCATCACCGAGCCGGGCCTGAGGTCACCCTGATGTCCCCAACCCCGTCCTGGTCACCTCAGTGTCACCAACACTGTCCCTGTGGTCACTGAGGTGTCCCCAACCTCATCCTGGTCACCTCAGTGTCACCAACCCTGGCCTGTGGTCACTGTGGCGTCACCGAGCCGGGCCTGCGGTCACTGCGGTGTCCCCAACCCCATCCTGGTCCCTGCAGGGTCACCCAAGTGTCCCCAACCCTGTCCTGAAGTCATCCCGGTGTCCCCAACCCCGTCCTGGTCACCTCAGTGTCCCCAAGCCTGACCTGAGGTCACTGTGATGTCCCCAAACTCATCCTGGTCACCTCAGTGTCCCCAACCCTGTCCCTGTGGTCACTGCGGTGTCACCAACCCCGTCCTGGTCACTGTGGTGTCCCCAACCCTGTCCTGGTCACCCCCCAGTGATGTCCCCAATCCCCCCAATGTCCCAATGATGTCCCCAATGATGTCCCCTCAATGTCCCCATGTCCCCAGTGCCACCCACCGGCCGTCCGGACGTGTCCCCAATGATGTCCCCAATGTCCCCAATGATGTCCCCAATGATGTCCCCAATGATGTCCCCAATGCCACCCACCGGCCGTCCGGACGTGTCCCCAATGATGTCCCCAATGTCCCCAATGATGTCCCCAATCCCTTCAATGTCCCCAATGATGTCCCTGGTGCCACCCACCGGCCGTCCGGACGTGTCCCCAATGATGTCCCCAATGATGTCCCCAGTGATGTCCCCATTGATGTCCCCATTGATGTCCCCATGTCCCCAATGATGTCCCCAGTGCCACCCACCGGCCATCCGGACGTGTCCCCATTGATGTCCCCATTGATGTCCCCAATGATGTCCCCATGTCCCCAATGATGTCCCCATGTCCCCAGTGATGTCCCCAATGATGTCCCCATGTCCCCAGTGATGTCCCCATGTCCCCAATGCCACCCACCGGCCGTCCGGACGTGTCCCCATCCGGTGACGGTGCAGTTCATGCCGGGGTCAAAGGTCACGCCGCCGGCGGGGAGGCACACGGGCCGTACCAAGCGCGAGGGGCTGGCGGGGGGGTCCAGCCGGGCCAGCGCCAGGTCCCCCGCGATGTCGTCACCGCCCGTGACGTCGTCGCCGCCGATGACGTCACCGCCCTGCCGCCGTTTCCTCTTCCTCCTCTTCCGCCGCTGGGGGTCGCTGTCGCGATAGTCGCGATAGGCCGGGTGGCGCGCGACCCAGGCCACGGCCCTGACCTGAGCGTCGGCGGGGGGGGACAGGAGCTGCAGCGCCCCCAGCGTCACGCGGTACTCGGGGAGGGGATTCTCCCTAGGGAGGGGAATTGGGGTCAGGAATGGGGAGTTTGGGGTTTTTGGGGTCAGGAATTGGGGATTTTGGGGTAGGAATTGGGGATTTTGGGGCAGGAATTGGGGATTTTGGGGTCAGGAATTGGGATTTTGGGGGTTTGGGGGAACGCGGTACTCGGGGAGGGGATTCTCCCTAGGGAGGGGAATTGGGGTCAGGAATGGGGAGTTTGGGGTTTTTGGGGGGGGATCTGGGGTTTTTTTGGGGGGGATTTGGGGAGGTTTGAGGGGGTTTTGGGGTAAATCCCAGGGTATTTTTGAGGTAAATCCCAGGGTATTTTTGGGGTTATTATGGGGTAAAACCCAGGATTTTTGGGGCTATTTTGAGGTAAATCCCAGGGTATTTTTGGGGTAAATCCCAGGGTATTTCTGGCTGTATTTCAGAGTCAATCCTGGGGTATTTCAGGCTCAATTTTGGGTTGAATCCCAGGGTATTTTTAGGGATACTTTGGGGTATTTCTGGCTCTATTTTGGGTGGAATCCCAGGCTATTTCAGGCTCAATTTTGGGTGGAATTCCCGTGTTTTTTGGGGTAAATCCTGGGGGATTTCTGGCTCTATTTTGGGTCGAATCCCAGGGTATTTTTGGGGATACTTTGGGGTATTTCAGGCTGTATTTCAGAGTCAATCCCAGGCTATTTCAGGCTCACTTTTGGGTGGAATTCCCGTGGTTTTTGGGTTAAATCCCGGGGTATTTCTGGCTCTATTTTGGGTTGAATCCCAGGGTATTTTTGGGGATACTTTGGGGTATTTCTGGCTCTATTTCAGAGTCAATCCCAGGGTATTTCAGGCTCACTTTTGGGTGGAATTCCCGTGTTTTTTGGGGTAAATCCCGGGCTATTTCAGGCTGTATTTCAGAGTCAATCCCAGGCTATTTCAAGCTCAGTTTTGGGTGGAATTCCCGTGGTTTTTGGGGTAAATCCCGGGGTATTTCAGGCTCAATTTTGGGTTGAATCCCAGGGTATTTTTGGGGATACTTTGGGGTATTTCTGGCTCTATTTCAGAGTCAATCCCAGGCTATTTCAGGCTCAGTTTTGGGTGGAATTCCCGTGGTTTTTGGGGTAAATCCCGGGGTATTTCTGGCTCTATTTCAGAGTCAATCCCGGGCTATTTCAGGCTCAATTTTGGCTTGAATCCCAGGGTATTTCTGGGTTTATTTTGGGGTAAATCCCAGGGTTTTTGGGGATACTTTGGGGTATTTCTGGCTCTATTTCAGAGTCAATCCCAGGGGATTTCAGGCTCAGTTTTGGGTGGAATTCCCGTGGTTTTTGGGGTAAATCCCAGGGGATTTCAGGCTCACTTTTGGGTGGAATTCCCGGTGTTTTTGGGCCCCGTTACTCACGGTGGGAAGCAGTGTGCGGCCGTCAGGACCCAGGCGGGGGCGATCAGGGCCCCTCCGCAGACGTGGCGCCCCCTGAAGGCCACGCTGACCGTCCAGGGCCACTGCCCCTCCTGCGCCCCCGCGCCCCCCCACCACGCGCCGCAGCACCGGGGTCCCACACGGCACTGCGGGGGTTAAACGGGGGAGGAAAGGGGGTCAGGACCCCAGACCAAATTCAGGGGATACCCCCCCCCCAAAAAAAAAGGGAACTGTTCACTTAAAGGGAACCCCCCCCCAAAATGGGACCATCCCAAAAAGGGGAACCCCAAAAATGGGAACCATTCCTTTAAAGGGAACCCCCAAAAAAATGGGACCATCCCAAAATATGGGACCCCCAAAATGGGACCCCTCCCAAAAAAGGGAACCCCCCAAAATGGGAACCATCCCCTAAAAGGGAACCCCCCCCCAGGACAGCCCCCAGACCCAATTCAGGGGATACCCCACCCCAAAAATGGGAACTGTTCACTTAAAGGGAACCCCCATAAAAATGGGAACTGTTCACTTAAAGGGAACCCCCCTAAAAATGGGAACCATTCCCTTAAAGGGAACCCCCCCCACAAATAGTGGGAATGGCCAAAAGTGGGAATCCCCCCCAAAAATGGGAACCATCCCAAAATATGGAACCCCCCCCCAAAAAAATGGGACCATCCCAAAAAAATGGGACCCCCCCTAAAGAATGGTACCCCCAAAATGGGACCCATCCCCTTAAAGGGAACCCCCCCAAAAATGGGACCTTTCCAAAATATGGGACCCCCCCCAAAAAATGGGACCATCCCAAAATATGGCACCCCCAAAATGGGACCCCTCCTAAAAATGGGAACCCCAAAAATGGGAAGCCCCCCGAAACAATGGTACCCCCAAAATGGGAACCATTCCCTTAAAGGGAACCCCCCCCTAAATTGTGGGAATGGCCAAAAGTGGGAATCCCCCCCAAAAATGGGACCATCCCAAAATATGGGACCCTCAAAATGGGACCCCTCCTAAAAATGGGAACCCCCATAATGGGACCCATTCCCTTAAAGGGAACCCCCCCGAAAAATGGGAACCCCAAAAATGGGACCCTCCCTAAACAATGAGACCCCCAAAATGGGACCCATCCCCTTAAAGGGAACCCCCCCAAAAAATGGGAACTGTTCCTTTAAAGGGACCCCCCCCGCAAAAAATGGGACCTTCCCAAAATATGCGACCCCCCCCAAAAATGGGACCTGTCCCCTTAAGGGACTCCCCCCCCCAAAATGGGACCATCCGAAAAACAGGAACCCCAAAAATGGGACCCCTCCTAAAAATGGGAACCCCAAAAATGGGACCCCCCCCCCCCCAGACAATGATACCCCCAAAATGGGAACCATTCCCTTAAAGGGAACCCCCTCCCCAAAAATGGGAACCATTCCCTTAAAGGGAACCCCACCGCAAAAAATGGGACCTGTCCCCTTAAGGGACCCCCTCCCAAAAATGGGACCATCCCAAAAATGGGACCCCCCCCAAAAATGGGACCCCTCCCCTTAAAGGATCCCCTGCAGATCACGTGACCCAAACACCAAACCCAGCCCCCACCCCAAAATGGGACCCCAGAATTCGGGACCCCCTCCCTCCCTCCCTCCCTCCCTCCCTCCCCCCTCACCTGTGTCATCTTCTGCTGCCACCGCCCAGTGACCTGTGAGGGGGAGATGACGTCAGAGACCCGTTTTGGGGACACCCCATGAGGGTGATGACGTCATAACCCCCTCCATTTAGAGACCCCCCCATGAGGGTGATGACGTCATAAACCTCCCATTTAGGGACACCCCCTCCCCATGAGGGTCAGACCCCGATTTGGGGACCCCTGTGAGGGTGATGACGTCATAACCCCCCCACATTTAGAGACACCCCTGTGAGGGTGATGACGTCATAACCCCCCCATTTCGAGACCCCTCCCCCAAATTAGGGTGATGACCTCAGCCCCCCCCTTTTGGGGACACCCCTGAGGGTCAGACCCCGATTTCGGGGCCCCTGTGAGGGTGATGACGTCATAACCCCTCCCATTTAGGGACCACCCCATTCGGGTGATGACGTAATAACCCCCCCCATTTAAAGACCTCCCCCCATGAGGGTGATGACGTCACAACCCCCCCCATTTAGGGACCCCCCCCCCATGAGGGTCAGACCCCACCCCCCCCATTTGTGGACCCCTATGAGGGTGATGACGTCACAACCCCCCCATTTCGAGATCCCTCCCCCAAATTATGGTGATGACCTCAGCCCCCCCCTTTTTTTTTTGGGTCCCCCCCCCACCCCGAGTGACCTGGCCGGACATCAGGGACACCCCAACATCCGGGATGGCATCGGGCATCCGGGGCCAAGCCGGAAAAACCGGCCCCAGGAATGTGTCCTGTGGGGCCAGGGAGGTGTGACCCCCCCCCTCCTCTCCGTGTGTGTGTGTGTGTCACCTGCCCGTGTCACCTGCCTGGGACACCTGTGTCCCCTGTGACCCCCCCTATGTGTCCCCTGTGACCCCCCCGTGTGTGTGTCACCTGCCCGTGTCACCTGCCTGGGACACCTGTGTCCCCTGTGACCCCCCCGTGTCACCTGCCTGGGACACCTGTGTCCCCTGTGACCCCCCCGTGTGTCCCCTGTGACCCCCCCATGTGTCCCCTCTGACCCCCCTATGTGTCCCCTGTGACCCCCCCTGTGTGTGTCACCTGCCCGTGTCACCTGCCTGGGACACCTGTGTCCCCTGTGACCCCCCCCATGTGTCCCCTGTGACCCCCCCTATGTCCCTTGTGACCCCATGTGTCCCCTGTGACCCCCCCATGTGTCCCCTATGACCCCCCCATGTGTCCCCTGTGACCCCCCATGTGTCCCCTATGACCCCCCCATGTGTCCCCTGTGACCCCTCCTGTGTCCCCTGTGACCCCCCCCCTTGTGTCCCCTGTGACCCCCCCTATGTGTCCTCTGTGACCCCCCCTATGTCCCTTGTGACCCCCCCATGTGTCCCCTGTCACCCCCCCCGTGTCCCCTGTCACCCCCCCATGTGTCCCCTGTCACCCCCCCATGTGTCCCCTGTGACCCCCCCATGTGTCCCCTGTGACCCCTCCTGTGTCCCTGTGACCCCCCCTATGTGTCCTCTGTGACCCCCCCTATGTCCCCTATGACCCCCCCATGTGTGTCCTCTGTGACCCCCCCATGTGTCCCCTGTGACCCCCCCATGTGTCCCCTGTGACCCCCCATGTGTGTCCCCTGTGACCCCCCATGTGTGTCCCCTGTGACCCCCCATGTGTCCCTGTGACCCCCCCCATGTGTGTCCCCTGTGACCCCCCCATGTGTCCCCTGTGACCCCTCCATGTCCCCTGTGACCCCTCCTGTGTCCCCTGTGACCCCCCCTATGTGTCCCCTGTGACCCCCCATGTGTCCCCTGTGACCCCCCCATGTGTCCCCTCTGACCCCCCCCATGTGTCCCCTATGACCCCCCCCATGTGTCCCCTGTGACCCCCCCTATGTCCCCTGTGACCCCCCCCATGTGTGTCCCCTATGACCCCCCCCATGTGTCCCCTGTGACCCCCCCTTGTGCCCCTGTGACCCCCCCATGTGTGTCCCCTATGACCCCCCCTATGTGTCCCCTGTGACCCCCCCTGTGTGTCCCCTGTGACCCCCCCATGTCCCCTGTGACCCCCCCCATGTGTGTCCCCTGTGACCCCCCCATGTGTGTCCCCTGTGACCCCCCCATGTCCCCTGTGACCCCCCATGTGTGTCCCTGTGACCCCCCCATGTGTCCCCTGTGACCCCCCCATGTGTCCCCTATGACCCCCCCATGTGTCCCCTGTGACCCCCCTTGTGCCCCCTATGACCCCCCATGTGTCCCCTGTGACCCCCCCTGTGTGTCCCTATGACCCCCCATGTGTCCCCTGTGACCCCCCCATGTGTCCCCTGTGACCCCCCCTGTGTGTCCCCTATGACCCCCCCATGTGTCCCCTGTGACCCCCCCATGTGTCCCCTGTCACCCCCCCATGTGTCCCCTGTGTCCCCCCATGTGTCCCCTGTGACCCCCCATGTGTCCCCTCTGACCCCCCGATATCCCCCAAAAATCCTCCCAGACCCCTCCAAACTGCGACCTCGAAATCGTCCTTGTCCCCTCTCAAATCCTATGAGACGTCCCCGAAATTTTGTCCCTTCAGATCGAATCGATTCCCCAAATTTTTGTGGACCCTCAAATGGCATTAGAAACCTGCAAAACCCTTTCGAATTGCCCCAAAATCCTCTAGGAGCCGCTGAAATCCCCTCAGAACTACCCCAAAAAACCCCTCAAATCCTCAAAAATTCTCTCCAAAAAACCTTCAGGAGTCCCCCCCAAAAAATCCTCGAATCTGCCCAAATCCTCCTCAGAGTCCCTCAAATCCCCTCATAATCCCCTCAAAACTTCTCAGATTTCCCCCAAATCCCCTCAGATTTCCCCAAATTCCTCAGAACCCCTCAAACCCCCTCAAATCGCCCCAAAACCTCTTCAGAACTTCTCAGATCCCTCAGATTTCCCCCAAATCCCCTCAGAACCTCTCAAATCCCCTCAGAACCCCCAAACCCTCAAATCGCCCCAAAACCTCTTCAGAAGCTCTCAAATCCCCTCAATTTGCCCCCAAACCCCCTCAAAACCTCCTCAGAACCTCTCAAACCCCCTTCAGAACTGCCTAAAACCCCTGGAATTGCCCCAAAACCCCCTTAAATCCCCTCAAAACCCCTTGAATCCCCCAAAACCCCTTAAATCCCCCCAGAACATCCTCGGAATTCCCCAAAATCCCCTCAAAATCCCCTCAGACCCCTCCTAAATTCCCTCAGGCTCCTCTCGGACTCCCCCTCCTCGATTCTCCCTGCCCAAATTCCCTCAGAAACTCAAAATCCCGGCAGAAAACCCGAAAATGCCCTCGGATTATTTTCCCGCCTTTCTTGTCCTCTCAGAAAAACCCCAAATCCCCCGGATTCTGCCCAAATCTCCTCAAGATTCTCTGACGCTCCGGTCCCCTCACGTTCTTTTCCTCCCCAAAATTCTTTCGCGATTCCCCCAAAAAAATCCCCTCACGATCCTGCCCCAAAATCCCTTCGGATTCCCTTTAAATCCCCTCGCGGTTCACCTCAAAATCACCTCGAGTTTTTGCCCCGAATTCCCACCCGATCCCCCCTCAAATTCCCTCAAGATTCCCTCAAAATCTCCTCACCATCTCCCCCAAACCCCATCGGATCCCCCTAAACCTCCTCAGATCCCCAAAATCCCCTCAGAACATCCGCAAAATCCCCTGAGATCCCCCAAAATCTCCTCAGGATTCCCCAAAATCCCCTCACGGTTCCTCCCCCAAATCCCCTCAGGATTCCCGCCTGCAGTCCCCTCACATTTCTCTCCAAAACCCCCAAAAAATCCCCTCAGGATTCCCTAAAAAACCCCTCAAATCCTCACAGGACACCCCCAAACATCCTCTAAAATCCCCCTCAAACTCCTCCAAATCCCCTCAGAACCCCCAAATCCTTCGGCCACCCCGAATTCCCTCAGACACCCTAAATTCCCCTCACGATTCCCGCCAAAATCCCCTCAGGATCTCCCGTTAAAATCCCCTCAAGTTTCTGTCCCCAAACCCCCCAATCCCTACAGAACCCCCCTAAATCCTCTCAGACTCCCCCAAATCTTTTCAGAGGCCGCAAATCCCCTCAGAATCTTTTTATCCTCCTCACAATTCCTGCCCAAAGCCCCTCACGATCCCCTGGTAAAATCTCCTCACGATTCTCTCTCAAGTCTCCCTAAATTCCCTCAGACTGTCCCAAATCCCCTCGGACTCCCCCAGATCCCCTCAGATTCCTCCAAAATCCCTTCACACACCCCCAAATCCCCTCAGAACCCTCCTAAATCCCCTCTGATACCCCAAAATCCTTTCAGGCACCCCAAATCCCCTCAGACTCTCCTTAGTCGCCTCAGGATAGCCGCCAGAATCCCCTCACGATTCTCTGGCAAAAATCCCCTCACGATTCCGTCCCAAATCCCTCAAAACCCCCTTAAAACCCCTCAGTACCCCCTAAAACTCCTCAGACCACCCCAATCCCCTCAGACTCCTCCAAATCCCCACAAACACCCCAATCCCCTCAGACTCTCCTTGATCCCCTCACGATTCCCGCCAAAATCCCCTCACGACTCCCTGCTAAAATCCCCTCACGATTCCGTCCCAATTCCCCTCAAAACTACTCAATACCCCCTAAAAACCTCCTAAACGCCTCAGGATCTCCCTGAAATCCCTCAGACTGCCCCAAATCCTCTCAAACTGCCCCAGATCGCCTCTCACCGCCCGGCAGTAGCAGCAGCAGCAGCGGCAGCAGCGGCAGCAGCGCCGGCGCCGCTCCGGGCCCCGCTCTCGGCTCCCGCCGCCGCCTCCTCATCGCTCCTGGGCCGCTGTGGCCGCCGGCACCTTCCGGCCGTCCCCTCACCTAAAGGCGGCCCCGCCCCGTGTACCTGTCCGGAATCTGCCGCCGCCACACCCCTCACCTGGCCGCCGGCACGCCCCTGCTACCTGGCCAGGCACTTCCTGCCCTCCCGCACCTGCGCTGAGGCCGCGGTTCCCGTACCTGGCCGGGGATCGGCCGCCCCTCTCACCTGAGTGCGGTCACGGCCCCACGGTTTGGTTGGGAAGTCGCTGCTCCCGCACACCTGAACAGGTACCCGAGCTCCGGCCACCTGTAGGGGCACCTGCGGCGCCTCATGGCCGCGGCCCCACAGCGAGGCCGCCGTGAGGAATTCACGCCCTCATTGGCCATTTATGGGCAAGCCACGCCCCTTAAACTGAATGGAAATACCTAAACCACGCCCACAGTAACCATTTATGGTCAAACCACGCCCCCAGTAACCACTTACGGTCAAACCACGCCCCCAAACTAAACTGAAATCCCTAAACCACGCCCCCAATAACCATTTATGGTCAAACCGCGCCCCCTGAATAAAGAAACCACGCCCTAAATATCCATTTCCGGTCAAGCCACACCTCTTGAAGTTAATAGGAAATCCTAAACCACGCCCCTCAAACTAAACAGGCAAACCTGAACCGCCCCCAGAAATTTATGTATGGACAAGCCACGCCCATTATGCAAATTAACATTTCCAATCAACACTTCTGAAACCTAAAATTGTGCAAGCCACGCCCCGCAGTCCATTTATGGCAAATGCACGCCTTTTATGCTAATTAGGCTAAACAATTTAAGCCCAGTTTAAAGTGATCAAGCCACGCCCCACAATCCATTTATGGTAATACCACGCCCATTATGCAAATTAACCCACCGTGCCCCCTTAAAGGGCCCCCATCCTAATTCAAGTGCCCTGCCCATCATGACATCAGCGCTTAATGATCTTGTTAATGAGCTCTCTAATTAACCCCTGGCCGGAAGTGCCTCATTAGGGCAATAATGACCTCACAGAGCACAGCCACGCCCCCCTCCCATCTCCCATCCAATCAGAAGAGGCCCCCAAATCCTTCCCCCAAAATCCCTTTATTGAGAGGGGGGAGGAGAGGGTTAAAAGCAGTGGGTGGGGAGGGGGAAGGGGCGGAGCCAGCGAAGGGGAGGGGCTTGCAGGGATGGGGGCGGGGCTAATACAAAACGAGGGGTGGGGGAGGGGCTCAGTAGGGCCGCTCGCGTCGGTCCTGCCGGTGGTCGCCCCTGCGGACAGACGGACAGACAGACAAATGAGCCAATTCCACGGTCATTAATTAGCGGTTGGCGTTAATTAATGAGGTTCATTTACAGCCTGGGATTCCCTGGTCCCATTAAGCAACTTCCAAAGCCCCAAATCTCCTGGTTTTACCCTGAAATTCCCATTATCTCCCCCCCAAAATCCCCTTTTTTTCCCCCAAAATCCCAATTTTTTATTCCCCCCAAATCCCCATTTATTCCCCCCAAAATCCCCATTTTCCCCCCCTAAACAATCCCCATTTCCCCCCAAAATTCTCATTTTTTCTTCCCCAAAATCCCCTTTGTTTCCCCCCAAAAATCCCCATTCCCCCCCCAATTCCCATTTTCCCCCAAAAAATCCCCATTTCCCCCTCCCGAAATCCCATTTTTTCCATTTTTTTTCCTCCCAAAATCCCAGTTTTTTCTCCCATTTTATTCCTCCAAAATCCCCATTTTTCCCCCCTAAAACATCCCCATTTTTCCCCCTATTTCCCCCCGAATTTTTCCCCCCAAAACCCCATTTTTCTCCCCGTTTTCCCCCCCAAAATCCCATTTTTCTCCCTATTTTTCCCTCCCAAAACCCCATTTTACGCCCCATTTCCCCTCCCCAAAATCCCATTTTTCCCTCCCAAAACCCCCAATTTTTACCCCCAACCCCCCACTGGTTTTTTTCCCAAATTCCCCATTTTTCCCCCCAAGCCCCCCCCCCGCTGTGTTTTTTCCCAAATTCCCCGGTTTTTCCCCCCATCCCCTCGCTGTGTTTTTCCCCAAAATCCCCATTTTTTCCCTGGTTTTTCCCCCCAAAATCCCCGTGTTTTTTCCCCAAATTCCCCATTTTTCCCCCCAAAATCCCCATGTGTTTTTCCGCCCAAAATCCCCATGTTTTTTTCCCAAATCCCCGGTTTTTCTCCCCAACCCCCCCTGTGTTTTTCCCCCCAAATTCCCCATTTTTTCCCCCAAAATCCCCGTGTTTTTTTCCCCCAATTCCCCATTTTTCCCCCCCAAAATCCCCATTTTTCCCCTGGTTTTTCCCCCCAAAATCCCCATGTTTTTTCCCCAAATTCCCCAATTTTTCCCCCCAAAACCCCCCATTTTTCCCAAATTCCCAGTTTTCCCCCAAATACCCCATTTTTTACCCCAAAATCCCCATGTTTTTTTCCCCAATTCCCCATTTTTCCTTCCCAAAATCCCCATTTTTTCCCTGGTTATTTTTCCCCCCCCAAAACCCCCACTTTTCCCAAATTCCCAGTTTTCCCCCCAAATTCCCCATTTTTTCCCCCAAAATCCTCATGTTTTTTCCCCAAATTCCCCATTTTTCCCCCCAAACCCCCCATTTTTCCCAAATTCCCCGTTTTTCCCCCCAATTTCTCTCTTTACCTGCTGTCCATCTTGCCGGGCCCGAAGCCGCCCCGGTCGCCTCCTCGGCCGCCCCTGAAGCCGCCGCGGTCGCCGCGGCCCCGGAACCCGCCCCGGTCAAAGCCCCCGCGGCCGCCGCGCCGGTCCTCGAACCCTCCACCTGTACAGGTGAGATACAGGTGTGTACAGGTGAGATACAGGTGAGATACAGGTGATACAGGTGTGTAAATGTGTGTAACAGTGATACAGGTGTGTACAGGTGTGATACAGGTGTGATTGTGCCCACCCAACCCGCCCCGGTCAAAGCCCCCGCGGCCGCCGCGCCGGTCCTCGAACCCTCCACCTGTGATACAGGTGAGATACAGGTGTGTAAAGGTGAGATACAGGTGTGTAACAGTGATACAGGTGTGATACAGGTGTGATACAGGTGTGATACAGGTGTGATACAGGTGAGATACAGGTGAGATACAGGTGTGTAAAGATGATACAGGTGGGTACAGGTGTGCAAAGGTGACACAGGTGTGTACAGGTGTGTAAAGGTGATACAGGTGAGATACAGATGAGATACAGGTGTGTAACAGTGATACAGGTGTGTACAGGTGAGATACAGGTGTGTAAATGTGTGTAATGGTGATACAGGTGTGTACAGGTGCGTAAAGGTGGTACAGGTGTGATACAGGTGAGATACAGGTGTGTACAGGTGTGATACAGGTGTGATACAGGTGTGATTGTGCCCACCCAACCCGCCCCGGTCAAAGCCCCCGCGGCCGCCGCGCCGGTCCTCGAACCCTCCACCTGTGGGACAGGTGAGGTACAGGTGTGTAAAGGTGTGATACAGGTGTGATACAGGTGAGTAAATGTGTGTAACAGGGATACAGGTGTGATACAGGTGAGATACAGATGTGTAAATGTGTGTAACAGGGATACAGGTGTGATACAGGTGTGATACAGGTGTGATACAGGCGTGTAAATGTGTGTAACAGGGATACAGGTGTGATACAGGTGTGATACAGGTGAGATACAGGTGTGTAAATGTGTGTAACAGGGATACAGGTGAGATACAGGTGTGTACAGGTGTGATACAGGTGTGTAAATGTGTGTAACAGTGATACAGGTGTGATACAGGTGTGTACAGGTGTGTACAGGTGTGATTGTGCCCACCCAACCCGCCCCGGTCAAAGCCCCCGCGGCCGCCGCGCCGGTCCTCGAACCCTCCACCTGTGATACAGGTGAGATACAGGTGAGATACAGGTGTGTAACAGTGATACAGGTGTGTACAGGTGTGAACAGGTGTGTACAGGTGTGACTGTGCCACCCAACCCGCCCCGGTCAAAGCCCCCGCGGCCGCCGCGCCGGTCCTCGAACCCCCCACCTGTACAGGTGAGATACAGGTGAGATACAGGTGAGATACAGGTGTGTAAAGGTGATACAGGTGTGATACAGGTGTGTAAATGTGTGTAACAGTGATACAGGTGTGTACAGGTGTGTACAGATGTGATTGTGCCCACCCAACCCGCCCCGGTCAAAGCCCCCGCGGCCGCCGTGCCGGTCCTCGAAACCTCCACCTGTGATACAGGTGAGATACAGGTGTGATATAGGTGTACAAAGGTGTGATACAGGTGTGATACAGGTGTGTAAATGTGTGTAACAGTGATACAGGTGTGTACAGGTGTGTACAGGTGTGATTGTGCCCACCCAACCCCGCCCCGGTCAAAGCCCCCGCGGCCGCCGCGCCGGTCCTCGAACCCTCCACCTGTGGGACAGGTAACACACAGGTGTGTAAATGTGTGATACAGGTGTGTAAATGTGTGTAACAGTGAAACAGGTGAGATACAGGTGAGATAAAGGTGTTTAAAGAAGGTACAGGTGAGATACAGGTGTGTACAAGTGTGTAAAAGTGATACAGGTGTGTAAACGTGATACAGGTGACACACAGGTGAGATACAGGTGTGTAACTGTGATACAGGTGAGATACAGGTGAGATACAGGTGTGTAAATGTGTGATACAGGTGTGTAAAGGTGAGATACAGGTGTGTAACAGTGATACAGGTGTGATACAGGTGTGATACAGGTGTGTACAGGTGTGATTGTGCCCACCCAACCCGCCCCGGTCAAAGCCCCCGCGGCCGCCGCGCCGGTCCTCGAAACCCCCACCTGTACAGGTGAGATACAGGTGAGATACAGGTGTGTACAGGTGTGATACAGGTGTGTAAATGTGTGTAACAGTGATACAGGTGTGTACAGGTGTGATACAGGTGTGATTGTGCCCACCCAACCCACCCCGGTCAAAGCCCCCGCGGCCGCCGCGCCGGTCCTCGAACCCTCCACCTGTACAGGTGTGTAAAGGTGAGATACAGGTGTGATACAGGTGTGTAAATGTGTGTAACAGTGATACAGGTGTGTACAGGTGTGATACAGTGATACAGGTGTGATACAGGTGTGTAATGGTGATACAGGTGAGATACAGGTGTGTGAAGGTGATACAGGTGTGTAAATGTGTGTAAAAGTGTGATACAGGTGAGATACAGGTGTGTAATGGTGATACAGGTAACACAGGTGTGTACAGGTATGTAACAGTGATACAGGTGTATAAAGGTGATACATGTCTGATACAGGTGTGTAAATGTGTGTATAGGTGAGATACAGGTGTGTAACAGTGATACAGGTGTGTACAGGTGTGTAAAGGTGATACAGGTGTGTAAATGTGTGTAAAGAGGAGCCCAGGTGTGCCCACCCAACCCACCCAAATGATCCTCAAACCCCCCACCTGTACAGGTGTGTAAAGGTGTGCAAAGGTGAGATACAGCTGTGTAACAGTGATACAGGTGTGTACAGGTGTGATACAGGTGTGATTGTGTCCACCCAACCCACCCCGGTCAAAGCCCCCGCGCCGGTCCTCGAACCCTCCACCTGTACAGGTGAGATACAGGTGAGATACAGGTGTGATACAGGTGTGTAACAGTGATACAGGTGTGTAAATAGGTGATACAGGTGTGTACAGGTGTGATACAGGTGTGACTGTGCCCACCCAACCCGCCCCGGTCAAAGCCCCCGCGGCCGCCGCGCCGCTCCTCGAACCCTCCACCTGTACAGGTGAGATACAGGTGTGTACAGGTGTGTAACAGTGATACAGGTGAGATACAGGTGTGTACAGGTGTGATACAGGTGTGTAAATGTGTGATACAGGTGTGTACAGGTGTGATACAGGTGTGCCCACCCAACCCGCCCCGGTCAAAGCCCCCGCGGCCGCCGCACCGGTCCTCGAAACCCCCACCTGTACAGGTGAGATACAGGTGTGTAAAGGTGTGTAAAGGTGATACAGGTGTGATACAGGTGTGAACAGGTGTGATACAGGTGTGTACAGGTGTGATACAGGTGTGTACAGGTGTGTACAGGTGTGATACAGGTGTGACTGTGCCCACCCAACCCACCCCGGTCAAAGCCCCCGCGCCGATGCTCGAACCCCCACCTGTGGGACAGGTGAGATACAGGTGATACAGGTGTGATACAGGTGTGTAAAGGTGAGGTACAGGTGTGTACAGGTGTGTAACAGTGATACAGGTGAGATACAGGTGTGTAAAGGTGATACAGGTGTGATACAGGTGTGTAACAGATACAGGTGTGTAACAGTGATACAGATGATACAGGTGTGTAAAGGTGAGATACAGGTGAGATACAGGTGTGTAAATGTGTGATACAGGTGTGTAAAGGTGTATAAAGGTGAGATACAGGTGTGACACAGGTAACACATGTGACACAGCTGATACAGGTGTGTCCCACCCGTACCCATGGGGTTTAGGTGTAGTATGGGTGTATTTTGGGTGTTATTTTGGGTGTATTTCAGGTGTATTTCAGGTCTATTTCAGGTGTATTTCAGGAGTGTTTCAGGTGCATTTCGTGTGTATTTCGGGTCTATTTTGGGTGTATTTCAGGTGTGTGTCAGGTGTATTCCAGGTGTTCCATCCTTACCCAAGTGGTTTGGATGTATTTTGGGTGTATTTCAGGTGTATTTTACCTGCATTTTGGGTGGATTTCAGGTACATTTCAGGTGTTATTTTGGGTGTATTTTAGGTGCATTCTGGGTACATTTCAGGCATTATTTTGGGTGTGTTTTTGGTGGATTTTGGGTGTGTTTCAGGTACATTTCAGGTGTTATTTTGGGTGTGTTTAGGTGCATTTTGGGTCTATTTCAGGTGTATGTCGTGTGCATTTCAGGTGTTATTTTGGGTGTATTTCCTGTGTATTTTAAGTGTTATTTTGGGTGTATTTTGGGTGCATTTCCTGTGTATTTCCTGTGTATTTCAGGTGTTATTTCGGGTGTATTTTGGGTGCATTTCCTGTGTATTTCAAGTGTTATTTTGGGTGTATTTTGGGTGCATTTCCTGTGTATTTCAAGTGTTATTTTGGGTGTATTTTGGGTGCATTTCCTGTGTATTTCGTGTGTATTTCAGGTGTTATTTCGGGTGTATTTTGGATGTGTTTAGGTGTATTTTGGGTGTGTATTTCAGGTATATTTTCTGCATGCACCCCATCCTTACCCATGTGGTTTCCTCCTCCTCCTCCTCCTCCTCCTCCTCCTCCTCGGCCGCCGCCCCCCGGGTACTTCCCGGCCCCGCCCCCGCCCAGGTGAGGCCCCCCGGGCCCCCCCTCGGGTTTGGGGGCCTTGCATTGGTTGCACTCGTTCCGCCATGAGAAGTTCATGTTCTCACACGCCCTGCGGGAATGGGACAGTGGTGACGTCAGCGGTGACGTCATCGCGCCGCCGGTGATGTCATAGAGAGGGGACGCGAGGGCGATCCCATCCCGGGGCATCCCATCAGCGCCCAGTTTGTCCCAGTTTATCCCAGTTCCCCCAATCCCAATTCCATTCCCAGTTTGTCCTGGTTTATCCCAGTTCCATCCCAGTCCCTCCCAGTTCGTCCCAGTTCCCCAATCCCCTCCCAGTCCCTCCCATTCCCAATTCCATTCCCAGTTTGTCCCAGTTTATCCCAGTTCCACCAATCCCCTCCCAGTTCATCCCAAACCCCTCCCAGTTCATCCCAGTTCCCCCAATCCCTTCCCAGTCCCTTCCCAGTTCCCCCAGTCCCTTCCCGGTTTGTCCCAGTTTATCCCAGTTCCCCCAATCCCCTCCCAGTTCATTCCAATCCCCTCCCAGTTCATCCCAGTTCCCTCAAACCCCGCCCAGTCCCTTCCCAGTTTGTCCCAGTCCATCCCAGTTCATCCCAGTCCATCCCATTCCTATCCCATTCCCAGTATATCCCAGTCTATTCCATTCCCATTCCCATTCCCATTCCCATTCCCATTCCCATTCCCAGTCTATCCCAGTTTATCCCAGTATATCCAAGTTTGTCACTCAACGGTTTGGGCATTTCCAGTCCCATTCCCATTCCCAGTCTATCCCAGTTTATCCCAGTACCTATTCCCAGTCTATCCCAGTTTATCCCAGTATCCATTCCCAGTTTCTGTCACTCACGGGTTCGGGCATTTCCAGTCCCATTCCCAGTATATCCCAGCATATCCCATTCCCAGTCTATCCCAGTTTATCCCAGTTTGTCACTCACGGGTTTGGGCATTTCTAGTCCCATTCCCAGTTCCCATTCCCATTCCCAGTATATCCCAGTTTATCCCAGTCTATCCCAGTCCATCCCAGTATATCCCAGTCTATCCCAGTATATCCCTGTCACTCACGGGTTCGGGCATTCCCAGTCCCATTCCCATTCCCAGTTTATCCCAGTAGCCATTCCCAGTTTCTCTCACTCACGGGTTTGGGCATTTCCAGTCCCATTCCCAGTTCCCATTCCCAGTTTATCCCAGTATCCATTCCCAGTCTATCCCAGTTTATCCCAGTTCATCCCAGTTCATTCCCATTTTGTGTCACTCACGGGTTTGGGCATTCCCAGTTCCCATTCCCAGTATCCATTCCCAGTATATCCCAGTATATCCCAGTCTATCTCTCACTCACGGGTTTGGGCATTCCCAGTCCCATTCCCATTCCCATTCCCATTCCCAGTATATCCCAGTTTATCCCAGTATCTCTCACTCACGGGTTTGGGCATTTCCAGTCCCAGTCCCATTCCCAGTATATCCCAGTATCCATTCCCAGTCTATCCCAGTTTATCCCAGTTTCACTCACGGGTTTGGGCATTCCCAGTCCCATTCCCATTCCCATTCCCATTCCCAGTATATCCCAGTTTATCCCAGTATCTCTCACTCACGGGTTTGGGCATTTCCAGTCCCAGTCCCATTCCCAGTATATCCCAGTATCCATTCCCAGTCTATCCCAGTATATCCCAGTTTCACTCACGGGTTCGGGCATTTCCAGTCCCAGTCCCATTCCCAGTTCCCATTCCCAGTCTATCCCAGTTATCCCAGTATATCCCAGTTTCACTCACGGGTTCGGGCATTTCCAGTCCCAGTCCCATTCCCAGTTCCCATTCCCAGTCTATCCCAGTTTATCCCAGTATATCCCAGTTTCACTCACGGGTTTGGGCATTTCCATTCCCGTTCCCATTCCCAGTATATCCCAGTTTATCCCAGTCTATCCCAGTATCTCCCCCACTCACGGGTTCAGGCATTTCCAGTCCCACTCCCATTCCCAGTTTATCCCAGTATATCCCAGTATATCCCAGTTTCCCCCACTCACGGGTTTGGGCATTTCCAGTCCCATTCCCAGTTTATCCCATTATATCCCAGTATCCATTCCCAGTATATCCCAGTTTATCCCAGTATCCATTCCCAGTTTGTCACTCACGGGTTTGGGCATTTCCAGTCCCATTCCCAGTCCCATTCCCATTATCCATTCCCATTCCCAGTCTATCCCAGTATATCCCAGTATCCATTCCCAGTTTTTGTGTCACTCACGGGTTCGGGCATTTCCAGTCCCATTCCCAGTATATCCCAGTTTATCCCATTCCCAGTCCCATTCCCATTCCCAGTATATCCCAGTATCTCCCCACTCACGGGTTCGGGCATTTCCAGTCCCATTCCCAGTTTATCCCAGTATATCCCAGTATCCTATCCCAGTATCCATTCCCAGTCTATCCCAGTTCCCATTCCCAGTTCCCATTCCCATTATATCCCAGTTTATCCCAGTATATCCCAGTCTATCCCAGTTTGTTTCACTCACGGGTTTGGGCATTTCCAGTCCCATTCCCATTCCCAGTCTATCCCAGTATCTATTCCCAGTTTATCCCAGTACCCATTCCCAGTTCATTCCCAGTATATCCCAGTTCATTCCCAGTTTATCCCAGTATCCCCAGTATCTTTGTCACTCACGGTTTGGGCATTTCCAGTCCCATTCCCAGTTCCCATTCCCAGTTCCCATTCCCATTCCCAGTTCCCATTCCCAGTATATCCCAGTTCATTCCCAGTATATCCCAGTATATCCCAGTATCTTTGTCACTCACGGGTTTGGGCATTTCCAGTTCCCATTCCCATTCCCAGTTTATCCCAGTTCCCATTCCCAGTTTATCCCAGTTTATCCCAGTATATCCCAGTATCCCCAGTTTGTTTCACTCACGGGTTTGGGCATTCCCAGTCCCATTCCCATTCCCAGTCCATCCCAGTATCCATTCCCAGTCTATCCCAGTTTATCCCAGTATCTTTGTCACTCACGGGTTTGGGCATTTCCAGTCCCATTCCCAGTCCCATTCCCATTCCCAGTCCATCCCAGTTTATCCCAGTATCCATTCCCAGTTTATCCCAGTATATCCCAGTTTCACTCACGGGTTCGGCATTTCCAGTCCCATTCCCATTCCCAGTATATCCCAGTTTATCCCAGTATATCCCAGTTTATCCCAGTTTGTCACTCACGGGTTTGGGCATTTCCAGTCCCATTCCCAGTTCCCAGTTTATCCCAGTTTATCCCAGTTCCCATTCCCAGTCTATCCCAGTTTATCCCAGTTCCCATTCCCAGTCTATCCCAGTATATCCCAGTATATCCCAGTATATCCCAGTATCTCCCCCACTCACGGGTTTGGGCATTTCCAGTCCCCCGCTCTCTGCTGGGCCCCTCCCCCTCCCGTGAAGCCTCCGCGGCCGCCGGAGCCCCCGGAGCCGAACCCGCCCCGGCCCATGGGGCCTGGAAAAATGGGGTGAAAAACGGGGATTTTGGTTAAAAATGGGAAAAATGGGGATTAATGGGGATCAATGAACCCGCCCCGGCCCATGGGGCCTGGAAAATGGGGTGAAAAACCGGGATTTTGGTTAAAAATGGGGAAAAATGGGGATCAATGAACCCGCCCCGGCCCATGGGGCCTGGAAATATTGGGGTGAAAAACGGGGATTTTGGTTAAAAATGGGGAAAATGGGGATTTTGGGGGGAAAAATGGGGATTTTGGTTAAAATGGGGAAAAATGGGGATTTTGGGGTTAAAAATGGTAAAAAATGGGGATGAATGAACCGGCCCTGGGACATGGGGCCTGGAAAATGGGGTGAAAAACGGGGATTTTGGTTAAAAACGGGAAAAACAGGGATTTTGGGGGGAAAAATGGGGATTTTGGTAAAAAAAAAATGGGGATTTTTTAGGGGGAAAAATGGGGATTTTGGGGTTAAAAATGGGAAAAAATGGGGATGTATGAACCTGTCCTGGGACATGGGGCCTGGAAAAATGGGGTGAAAATCGGAGATTTTGGTTAAAATGGGAAAAACGGGGATCAATGGGAATGGCTGAACCCGCCCCAGGACATGGGGCCTGGAAATACTGGGGTGAAAAACGGGGATTTTGGTTAAAAATGGGGAAAACAGGGATGAACGAACCCGCCCTGGGACATGGGGCCTGGAAAAATGGGGTGAAAAACCGGGATTTTGGTTAAAAACAGGGAAAAATGGGGATTTTGGGGGGAAAAATGGGGATTTTGGTAAAAAAAAAATGGGGAAAAATGGCGATTTTGGGGAGAAAAATGGTAAAAAATGGGGATGAATGAACCCCGCCCCGGCCCATGGGGCCTGGAAATATTGGGGTGAAAAACGGGGATTTTGGTTAAAACGGGAAAAATGGGGATGAATGAACCCGCCCCGGCCCATGGGGCCTGCAAATATTGGGGTGAAAAACGGGGATTTTGGTTAAAAACGGGGAAAAATGGGGATTTTGGGGGGAAAAATGGGGATTTTGGTAAAAAAAATGGGGTGAAAAACGGGGATTTTGGGGTTAAAAATGGTAAAAAATGGGGATGAATGAACCGGCCCTGGGACATGGGGCCTGGAAATATTGGGGTGAAAATCGGGGGATTTTGGTTAAAAATGGGAAAAATGGGGATTTTGGGGTGAATTCAGGGTTTTGGGGGTGAAATGTGGGTGGTTTTTGGGTGAATTTGGGGGTTTTTGGGACACAAAGGTTCATTTTGGGGTGAAATTGGGGGGATTTTGGGGTGAATTCGGGCGTTTTTGGGTCAGAAAGGTTCATTTTGGGGTGAATCTGGGGGTTTTTGGGCCAGCAATGTTCATTTTTGGGGTGGATTCGGGCGTTTTTGGGTCACAAAGGTTCATTTTGGGGTGAAATTGGGGGTTTTTGGGTGAGAAAGGTTCATCTTGGGGTGAAATCTGGGGGTTTTGGGTGAATTTGGGGGTTTTTGGGTCAGAAAGGTTCATTTTGGGGTGAAATTCGGGGTTTTTGGGGTGAATTCGGGGGTTTTTGGGGTGAATCTGGGAGTTTTTGAGTTTATTTTGGGGTTTTTGGGTTCATTTTGGGGTTTTTGGGGTGAAATTCAGGGTTTTTGGGGTGCAATCAGTGATTTTTGGACAAAATCTGGGTTTTTTGCGGTGAATTTGGGGGTTTTTGGGGTGAATCTGGGGTTTTTTGGGTTCATTTTGGGTTTTTTGGGGTGAATCTGGGGGTTTTTGGGGTGAATCTGGGGGTTTTTGGGGTGAATTTGGGGTTTTTTGGGTCTCACCTCCCCGTCCCCGGCCGCGGCCGCCCCCCGCCCCGGGTGAAATCCGCTCGGCGCGTGGCGAACGAGACCTTGATGGGGTTCCCAGAGAACTCCTTGCCTGGGGGGGGAAAAATAATGGGGGAAAAATAATGGGAATTAGTGGGGAAAAATATGGGAATTAGTGGGGAAAAATAGTGGGAATATTGGGGGAAAATATGGGGATTATTGGGAAAAATTATTGGGGATTATGGGGGAAAAACAATGGGAATTATGGGGGAAAAATTGGGGTTTATTGGGAAAAATTATTGGGGATTATGGGGGAAAAATGGGGATTATTGGGGCAAAATAATGGGAATTATTGGGGAGAAATATTGGGGATTATGGGGAAAAAATGGGGATTATGGGGGGAAAATATGGGGATTATTGGGGGAAAATATGGGAATTAGTGGGGAAAAATATGGGAATATTGGGAAAAATTATTGGGAATACTGGGGAAAAATATTGGGGATTATTGGGGAAAAATAATGGGAATTAGTGGGGAAAAATATTGGGGATTATGGGGAAAAATATGGGAATTATTGGGGCAAAATATGGGAATTATTGGGAAAAATTATTGGGGATTATTGGGGAAAATATTGGGGATTATGGGGGAAAAATATTGAGAATTATTGGGGAAAAATATTGGGAATTAGTGGGGAAAAATATGGGAATATTGGGGGAAAAATATTGGGAATATTGGGGGAAAATATTGAGAATTATTGGGGAAAAATATTGGGAATATTGGGGAAAAACAATGGAAATTATTGGGGGGGAAATGGCAATTATTAGGGAAAATTAGGAATTAATATTGGGGGAAAATGGGAATTTTTGGGAAAAACAATGGAATTATGGGGACAAAAAAGGGAATTTATTGGGGAAAAATATGGGAATTATTGGGGGAAAAAATGGGGATTATGGGGGAAAAAATTGGGAATTATTGGGAAAAATTATTGCGGATTATGGGGGAAAAAATGGGGATTCTGGGATTTTTGGGAATTTCGGGATCAGGGGTTTCGGGGATTTTGGGAATTTCTGGGGAATTTCAAGATCAGGCATTTCAGGAATTTCAGGAATTTTGAGATCGGGGATTTTGGGATCAGGAGTTTTAGGAATTTCGGGAATTTGAGGAAATTCAGGATCAGAGATTTCGGGAATTTCAGGATCAGGATTTCAGGAATTTCGGGCTCAGGATTTCGGGAATTCCAGGAATTTTGGGATCAGGGATTTCAGTAATTTCAGGATCCGGATTTCGGGATCGGGAATTTCAGGATCAGGAATTTCTGGAATGTCAGGATCAAGGATTTTGGGAATTTCGGGATCGGGGGGATTTCAGGAATTTCGGTCATTTCGGGCTCAGGGATTTTGGGAATTTCGGGGATCAGGGATTTTGGGAATTTCAGGATTTTTGGGCTCAGGGATTTTGGGAATTTTGGGGAATTTTGTGAATTCCTGGAGCCTGACCGTCGAACCAGTCGATGGCGGCCTTGGCCGAGGGGGGGTCGTCGAAGGACACGGTGGCCTCGCCCTTGAGCTTCCCGGTCTCACGGTCGGTGTAGAGATTGATCATGGGCTGGCCCGTCTTCTTGTTGGTCTGGGGAGTGACCAGAGAGTGACCACTGACCACAGAGTGACCACAGAGTGAGCAATGAGTGACCCTGACTGACCAATGAGTAACCACAGTGAGCACCCATTGATCATGGGCTGGCCCGTCTTCTTGTTGGTCTGGGGAGAGAGAGTGACCAATGAGTGACCACTGAGTGACCACTGACCACAGAGTGACCACAGAGTGACCACTGAGTGACCAATGACCAGTGAGTGACCCTGAGTGAGCACAGAGTGACCAATGAGTGACCCTGAGTGAGCAATGAGTAACCACAGTGAGCACCCATTGATCATGGGCTGGCCCGTCTTCTTGTTGGTCTGGGGACAGAGAGTGACCACTGAGTGACCAGTGAGTGACCACAGAGTGACCACTGACCAGTGAGTGAGCACTGAGTGACCACAGAGTGACCACTGATCAGTGAGTGACCACAGAGTGACCACTGAGTGACCAATGAGTGACCCTGAGTGAGCACACAGTGAGCACCCATTGATCATGGGCTGGCCCGTCTTCTTATTGGTCTGGGGAGTGACCAGAGTGACCAATGAGTGACCACAGAGTGACCACTGAGTGACCAAGGACCCCAGAGTGACCAGTGAGTGACCCTGAGTGAGCACACAGTGAGCACAGAGTGACCACTGAGTGACCACCACTGACCAGTGAGTGACCACAGAGTGACCAGAGTGACCAATGAGTGACCATCACTGACCACTGAGTGACCCTGAGTGAGCAATGAGTAACCACAGTGAGCACCCATTGATCATGGGCTGGCCCGTCTTCTTGTTGGTCTGGGGATGGACACAGAGTGACCACTGAGTGACCAATGAGTGACCACTGAGTGACCAATGAGTGACCAATGACCAGAGAGTGACCATCAGTGACCACTGAGTGACCCTGAGTGACCAGAGAGTGACCAGAGTGACCAATGATCAGTGAGTGACCACTGAGTGACCCTGAGTGAGCACACAGTGAGCACCCATTGATCATGGGCTGGCCCGTCTTCTTGTTGGTCTGGGGAGAGAATGACCACAGAGTGACCAGTGAGTGACCATCAGTGACCAATGAGTGACCCTGAGTGACCAATGAGTGACCAATGAGTGACCAATGAGTGACCACTGACCAATGAGTGACCAGAGTGACCAATGAGTGACCACAGAGTGACCAATGAGTGACCCTGAGTGAGCACACAGTGAGCACCCATTGATCATGGGCTGGCCCGTCTTCTTGTTGGTCTGGGGATGGACAGAGTGACCAATGAGTGACCACTGACCACAGAGTGACCACTGAGTGACCACAGAGTGACCAGAGTGACCATCAGTGACCAATGAGTGACCCTGAGTGAGCACAGAGTGAGCACCCATTGATCATGGGCTGGCCGGGCTTCTTATTGGTCTGGGGGAGTGACCAGAGTGTGACCACTGAGTGACCATCACTGACCACAGAGTGACCAGTGAGTGACCAGAGTGACCATCAGTGACCACTGAGTGACCATTGAGAACAGAGTGAGCACCCATTGATCATGGGCTGGCCCGTCTTCTTGTTGGTCTGGGGAGTGACCAGAGAGTGACCAGTGAGTGACCACTGACCACAGAGTGACCATTGAGTGACCATCAGTGACCCTGAGTGACCAATGAGTGAGCACAGAGTGACCAATGAGTGACCCTGAGTGAGCACCCATTGATCATGGGCTGGCCCGTCTTCTTGTTGGTCTGGGGAGTGACCAGAGTGACCACTGAGTGACCATCACTGACCACAGAGTGACCACAGAGTGACCACAGAGTGACCACTGACCAGTGAGTGACCAATGAGTGACCCTGAGTGAGCACACAGTGAGCACCCATTGATCATGGGCTGGCCGGGCTTCTTGTTGGTCTGGGGATGGACAGAGAGTGACCAATGAGTGACCAATGAGTGACCAATGAGTGACCAATGAGTGACCAATGACCACAGAGTGACCATTGAGTGACCAATGAGTGACCACTGACCAGTGAGTGACCAGTGAGTGACCAGTGAGTGACCAATGACTGACCAATGAGTGACCACTGAGTGACCAATGAGTGACCATTGAGTGACCGATAAGTGAGCAGTGGTCACTCCCCCAGGTGTATTTTGGGTGTGCTCAGGTGCATTTTGGGTGTAATTTTGGATATCCCCAGGTGTATTTTGGGTGTAATTTTGGGTGTATTTTGGGTGAATTCTGGCTCTACTCTGGGTGTTATTTGGGTGTATTTTGGGTGTACTTTGGGTGTATTTCAGGTGTAATTTTGGGTGTATTTCGGGTGAATTCTGGGTCTACTCCAGGTGTAATTTTGGGTGTATTTCAGGTGCATTTGGGTGCAATTTTGGGTGCATTCTGGGTGTATTTCAGGTGTATTTTGGGTGTAATTTTGGGTGTATTTCGGGTAAATTCTGGGTCTACTCCAGGTGTAATTTTGGATGTATTTGGGGTGAATTTTGGGTGTATTTCAGGGGTATTTTGGGTGTATTTCAGGAGTATTTTGGGTGTATTTCAGGGGTATTTTGGGCGTATTTCAGGGGTATTTTGGGTGTATTTCAAGGGTATTTTGGGTGTATTTTAGGAGTATTTTGGGCGTATTTCAGGGGTATTTTGGTTTACTTTGGGTGTATTTTGGAGGACAATTTGGGGATATTTCGGGGGTATTTTGGGTGTATTTCAGGTGTATTTCAGGTTTTATTCCGGGTGTATTTCAGCTGTATTCTGGGTGTTATTTTGGGGATATTTTGGGACAATTCTGGGTGTATTCCAGGTATTATTCTGGGTGTATTCTGGGTGTATTTCAGGTGTTATTCTGGGTGTACTTTGGGCCTATTCTGGGTGTATTTCGGGTGGTTTTTTGGGTGTAATTTCAGATGTATTTCAGGTGTATTTTGGGTGTATTTCAGGTGTAATTTCAGGTGTATTTCAGGTGTTTTTTTGGGTGTATCCCAGGTGCATTCTGGGTATATTTCAGGTGTATTTTGGGTGGTTTTTTGGGTGTATTTCAGGTGTAATTTCAGGTGTATTTCAGGTATTATTTTGGGTGTATTTCAGGTGTAATTTCAGGTGTATTTCAGGTATTATTTCGGGTATATTTCAGGTGTATTTTGGGTGGTTTTTTGGGTGTATTTCAGGTGTTATTCTGGGTGTGTTTCAGGTATATTTCAGGTGCATTTTGGGTGTATTTCGGGTGTTTTTTGGGTGCATTCCAGGTGTATTTCGGGTGTACTTTGGGTGTAATTTCAGGTGTTATTTTCCGAGTATTTCGGGTGAGTTCTAGGTGTATTCCAGGTGTATTCCAGGTGTATTTCAGGTGTATTTCAGGTGTACTTTGGGTGTTTTTTCGGGTGTATTCTGGGTGTATTTCAGGTGTAATTTCAGGTGTATCTCAGGTGTATCCAGGTGTATTCCGGGTGTTTTTTGGGTGTATTTCAGGTGTAATTTCAGGTATTATTTCGGGTGTATCCCAGGTGTATTTCCGGGTGTATTCCGGGTGTTTTTCTGGGTGTTTTTCTGGGTGTATTTCCGGTGTTTTTCGGGTGTATTTCGGGTGTATTTCCGGGTGTATTCCGTGTGTATTTCCGGGTGTTTTTCCGTGTGTCCCCACCTTGATGATCCCGATCTGTTTGAAGTAATCGGCCACCGACTCGATGGTGACGTTCTCGCCCAGCCCCTGCACGAAGATGGTGTTGTTGTCCGAGTTGTCCTGCTCACCTGCAATTCATTACCCAATTAGCGCTAATTACCGCTAATTAGTGTTAATTACTGAGACAAAAACGCTAATTAACCTAATTAACCTAATTAACTCCACCCCAGGGCTCTAAAACAGCCCCCAAGCTCCCCCCCATTGATGTTCTCTGAGTTGTCCTGCTCACCTGCAATTAATGACCCAATTAGTGCTAATTGATATTAATTAGTGTTAATTACTAAAAGAAAAATGCTAATTAACCTAATTAACCCCACCCCAAAACATAACAATGACCCCCAAGCCCATCCCCTATTACTGTTCTCTGAGTTGTCCTGTTCACCTGAAATTCATTACCCAATTAGCGCTAATTAACATTAATTAGCATTAATTACTGAAAAAAAGAAGCTAATTAGCCCCACCCCAGGGCTCTAAAACAGCCCCCAAGCCCCTCCCCTATTCCTGTTCTCTGAGTTGTCCTTCTGACCTGTAATTAATTAGCGCTAATTACCATTAATTAGCAGTAAATACTGAGACACAAATGCTAATTAACCCTAATTAACCCCACCCCAGGGCTCACCAATACCCCTAAGCCCCTCCCCATGTGTTGTTGTCCGAGTTGTCCTGCTCACCTGTAATTCATTAACCAATTAGTGCTAATTAGCATTAATTTATTAGCTCCAATTTATTCCTAATTACCCAAACCACCCCATTAATTGTTCCCAGCAGAATTGTTAATCACCACCGCTAATTAATCCCTTTAATTAACGCCAATCTCATCCCTTATTCTTCATTACATTCCCACCAATTAACCTGCATTAATTACTCCTAATCACCACCAATTAGCCCCACAAAAATCCTATTAATTACCACATTAATTACCTTGAACACCACCCATTAATTCTCATTAATCACCTCTAATTACCACATTAATTATTCCCAGAATTTTTAATCACCACTGTTAATTAATCCCTTTAATTAACCCCACTCCTGTCCCTTATTTTTCATTACATCCCCACCAATTAACCTGCATTAATTACTCCTAATCACTACTAATTAACCCCTCATAAATCCCATTAATTACCACATTAATTACCTTAATTAATCCCTTTAATTAACCCAAATCCCATCCTTTATTAATTACCACCAATTAACCTGCATTAATTACTCCTAATCACCACCAATTAACCCCTCATAAATACCACTAATTACCACATTAATTACCTAAACACCACCCATTAATTCTCATTAATTACCTCTAATTACCCCTAATTAATTAATTAACCCATTAATTACCTGGGTCATGTCTGGGCCCCTGGTCCCGGGGTCCTTTTGGGGCCACACATGAAAAAGAAACACAAATTATGCAAATTAGAGGGGCGGGGCTTGGGCAAAGACCGACCCAAACCCCGCCCCCCTTTCCTTGGCCCCGCCCCTTCCTGCCCCTCCCGGGCGCCATTTTGGGGGCAAAATCCCCAAATTTGGCACCAAAATTTTGCTTTTTTTCACCTTTTCCCACCTGAAATTCAAATTCTGGAACCTTCTCCCCCAAAAGGCTCCGATTTTTCCCGATTTTCTCCATTTTTAAAATTTTTTTCCCTCAGTTTTTCCCATTTCTTTCAATTTTTCCCTCATTTTTTCTTCATTTTCCTCTTGATTTTTCCCCCTCGTTTTTTTTCTCCACCTTTTCAACATTTTTACTCCAGGTTTCCCTCATTATTTATAATTTTTTTTTCTTATTTTTACCTTTATTTTCTCCATTTTTCCCCTCATTTTTTCCATTTTTCCTTCATTTTTCCACCTTTTTAAAAAAATTTCTCCCATATTTTTCTGAATTTTTTCCGTATTTTTCCTTCATTTTTTTCCATATTTTTCCCCCATTTCCCTTCAATTTTTCTGAATTTTTTCCTGATTTTTTTCCCCATTTCTTCCTGAATTTTCCCCTTATTTTTCTCCATTTTCCCCTCATTTTTTCTTCAATTTTTTTTTCCATTTTCCTCTCATTTTTTTTCATTTTTTTTCCATTTTTCCTGGGGTTTTTTTCCATTTTCCCCTCATTTTTTCTTTAATTTTTTCCTGTGTTTTTTTCCCATTTTTTCCTTAATTTTTTCCATTTTTTCCTGGGTTTTTTCGATTTTCCCCTCATTTTTTCTTTAACTTTGTTCCATTTTTCCTTAATTTTTTCCATTTTTTCCTGGGTTTTTTCTCCGTTTTCCCCTCATTTTTTCTCCATTTTTTTCCCATTTTCCCGTATTTTTTCCTCAAATTTTTTCCATTTTTTCCTGTTTTTTTCTCCATTTACCCCTCATTTTTTCCTTATTTTTTTCCATTTTCCCCTCATTCTTTCGTTAATTTTTTTCCATTTTTTCCTCATTTTTTCTCGATTTTCTTCCTGGTATTTTTCCTCCATTTTCCCCTCATTTTTTCCTCAATTTTTTCCATTTTATTTTCCATTTCCCCTCATTTTTTCTTTAAATTTTTTCATTTTTTTCTCAATTTTCCCCTCATTTTTTCCTTATTTTTTTCCCATTTTTTCTGTTTTTTTTTCTCCATTTTTCCCTTAATTTTTCCCTGTTTTTTTTTTTTCCATTTTCCCCTCATTTTTTCTTTAATTTCTTCCATTTTTCCTGGGGTTTTTTTCCATTTCCCCTCATTTTTTCTTAAATTTTTTTTCCATTTTTTCCTGGGGTTTTTTTCCATTTTCCCCTCATTTTTTCTTTAATTTTTTCCTGTGTTTTTTTTTCCCATTTTTTCCTTAATTTTTTCCATTTTTTTCCTGGTATTTTTTCGATTTTCCCCTCATTTTTTCTTTAACTTTTTACCATTTTTCCTTAATTTTTTCCATATTTTCCTGGGTTTTTTTCTCCATTTCCCCCTCATTTTTTCTTTAATTTTTTTCCATTTTTTCCTGGTTTTTTTCCTCCATTTTCCCCTCATTTTTCCTTAATTTTTTCCAGTTTTTTTTTTTTCCATTTTCCCTTCATTTTTTCTCCATTTTTCCTGGTTTTTTTCATTTTCCCCTCATTTTTTCCTTAATTTTTCCCATTTTTTTCCTGGGTTTTTTCTCCATTTTCCCCTCAGTTTTTCCTGAATTTTTTCCATTTTTTATTCCATTTTCCCCTCATTTTTTCCTTAATTTTTTCCTGGTTTTTTTCCATTTTCCCTTCATTTTTTCCTTAATTTTTTCCATTTTTTCCTGTTTTTTTTTTCCCATTTTCCCTTCATTTCCCCCATTTTCCCCTCATTTTTTCCACTTTTTCACCACCAAAAAAATTCACTTTTTTCCCATTGGTTTTGGGTCCACTGCAGCTCCGACCTCACCCCAATTTTGGGGCAATTTCCACCATTTTTGGGGCAATTTCCACATTTTTGGGGCAATTTCCGCCATTTTTGGGGCAATTTCCACCATTTTTTTACCACCAAAACCCTCAAACTCCTCCAAGTCACCGGCGCTTCCACCAAAAACCTCCTGAAATTTGGGGTTTTTCCCCCAAAACCACCAAAAATCACCATTTTTTCCACACATGCAGCGTTTTAACCAAAAACCACCTTTTTTTACCCCAATCCCCACCATTTTCACCTCATTTTTCCACCATTTTTACCTCACAAAACCTCATTTTTTTTCACATTTCCATCCCCTAAATTCCGTTTTTTCGAGGGATTTTCCCCCGCTCAGGAAAAATGGGGGAAAAATCCAAAATCCACCTTTTATTTTTTCATCTTTTCTGCCTTTTTTTTGGGTTTTTTTGGGGTCAAAACCTCGAATTTTGGGACTTACCACCGAATTTATTGAAGCCACCACGCTCACCACCGCTGAGGAGATAAATTGGAAGATTGAAAATCAGCGATTTTGGAACCCTGCCTGCAACCGCTGGGACACGGCAAAATTCCACCACACTTTGGGGCAAAAATCACCACTTTGGGGCTTTTTTTGGAAAATTTTAGTTTTGGGCTTTTTTGGGCAATTTTTGGGGTTTTTTTCCGCTTTTTTTGGCTTTTTTTCGGCAATTTTTGGGGGTTTTTTCTGCTTTTTTTTGGCTTTTTTTCTGCTTTTTTCGAGCAATTTTTGGGCTTTTTTCCTTTATTTTGGGGCAATTTTGGGGTGTTTTTTTCCGCTTTTTTAATTGCTTTTTTCCATTTTTTTTGGCCTTTTTTTCTGCATTTTTGGGCAATTTTGGGGGTTTTTTTTTTTGCTTTTTTTGGGCAAATTTTGGGTTGTTTTTCCGCTTTTTTGGCCTTTTTTCTGCTTTTCTTCGGGGCAATTTTTGAGGTTTTTTTCATGCAATTTTTGGGGTTTTTTTTCCGCTTTTTTTCTGCATTTTTGGGCAATTTTTGGGGTTTTTTTGGGCAATTTTTGGTTATTTTGTCATGCAATTTTTGGGCATTTTTCCGCTTTTGTTTTTGCTTTTTCTGGGCAAATTTGGGGGCTTTTTTCATGCAATTTTTGGGCTTTTTTTTGGGCAATTTTTGGGTTTTTTTCATGCAATTTTTGAGGTTTTTCCCCCCGCTTTTTTTTGGCCTTTTTTCGTCAATTTTGGGGGGGGTTTTGGGGCAATTTTTGGGGGTTT